TATTTTGCTATGTTGTTTTGGTAAAAAAAAAAAAATTGTTAATTTCTGTAAATTTGGCATATGAGTTTGCTGTAAATTTCGTTTATTATTGATTTATTTCATTTTGGTCAAACTGCTAATCATGGCTACGCCACTGAAAATTTTGGTTCGCCATACGTAAATTTTCATCCTGGCTCCGCCACTGCTTTTAGTTTTGCTTTGCTCTAAGTTTTTGTTGTTTTTAGGTTTTTGAAGGCTACCTAGGGTCAATTGGTGATAGTGATTGGTCTTCTTTGATACCACAGCTGGATGTGTGGATCCCTATGGGGGGAGTAGGTATCAAATTCCTGGTCCCTTTACCTTCGACTTAGTCGGGAGTATGGTGCCTACTCTCTTTATTGGCTTTTGACTTATTTCCTTGTATTAGGAGATTAACGGGTTAGTTACCCGGCCTAGTTTATTGTAATTGGGCTAGCCAGTCCACACTATGTGCATATTTGTATACATCCTGTCATTTCGAAAAAAATAAAAATAAATTAAATTAACGGACAAAAACTGAATTACGAATTTATGAAATCCAATTCGAAAGGCCGTAAATATTTTGCAATTTCAGAGAAATAGAAAATAGACGAAGAAAAAAAAAATAAAAAAAATCCACAAGCAATGGCCCTTAGCTCCCAAATCTCACCTTCTCTAACAAAATCCCAATACCCACGCAATCCGTTCAATTCCCACCTCAATACCAGAAAACCCTCAAATTTCCTCACAATCAGCTGCAGCCAAAGCCAGCCCAGTGAAAACCAAGACTCAAATGCGGCGAGCAAACAGCAAAAGAAGCTGTCCGAACAATCCTCATGGGAGTCGAAGGATTCCGAGGGCAAGGACTACTTGTACAGGCTTGGGTCGGAGGCCGACAACATGAACATTGCCGTTGGAGCTAGGGCTGGCGCCATCGATGACATCTTCACCGGCACTTTTCTCGGCAAAGACGGTAAAATGAGTAGATATTTATTTGTGTGAGCTGTGACCGAATAATTTTGATGGTATGAATGTAATGTGTTTACTGGGATTGAATTTGCCAGCGGATATTGTGTTTGATTACCGGCAAAAGGCCACGAGGTCGTTCGAGTATCTTCAGGGGGATTATTACATTGCGCCGGTTTTCATGGTGCGTTTGTGTGTGTGATCGTGTATTTTCAGGATACTTTTACTGGATCTTGTACATTTTCCTGAAGCTGTGTCTATGTTGCCTTTCGGTATTGCAGGATAAAGTCGGTAAGATCATTCGATCTGAAAATGGAAGTATGTCCTGTCAAAGAAAAATGAAATTTTGGGGAAGAACTGTACTTTCCATGGTTTACAATGCCGCTAATAGAAGTGCTAACATTTTTAATTTTACTATTTGAAGATATAGTGTTTAGCATGCTTGTAATTCCTCTTAAAAATTTTTATTTTCTGAAGTTTTCTGATTCTATCAGGTATGCATACCTTTCGAGTGAGAACGTTTATAGTTCCAATAATTACTGAACAATTGTTCAACTTTATGTGGTTCTGTCATTACTCAGAGAAAATAATGTTGTATGTTTCTAATGCTTTTGCTGTTTCAATTGTAGTGTGCCATATTGTGAAGAACTATATTGCTCATCTTCTCGATGCGAAAGTTCCACTGATTTTAGGTGAATATATTTTGCTATGCATCTATGTAAGAAGTATAAATTATAATAGATAGAAGGGCTAACTGCAGAATAAAGGAAACCATATGAAATTAGGCACGTCTTTCTCAAGTTAAATATGCATTCTTTAATATCTAACCTGGAAATGATTATTCTTGATTTTTTTTACTAATGCAGATATAATAGATAGATCTTACTCTGCATTTAACCCCTTCTGATGTAGGGCAATCTAACTTCATTTCCACTTGCCATTTTAGCCCACAATTTTAAATGTTAGTTATGAGGAATAGTGTTGTCCTTCGATCAGTGTTGAGAGAAACATCATGAACTTCTTGTTCAGGAATATGGGGAGGGAAAGGGCAAGGTAAAACTTTTCAAACCGAATTAATTTTCCGGGCGCTGGGGCTCGAACCTATTATCATGTCAGCTGGCGAACTGGAATCGGAAAGAGCAGGTATTGACATGAGTTAAGATTTCGGTTTGGAGGTGGCTTGCTTTCTATTTCTCATTAGGTAATGATTACTTCGTCCTGGATCTTTTTATTGTACTTTCTGTAGGAGAACCAGGAAAGTTGATTCGTGAACGGTACAGAACTGCTTCTCAAGTGGTTCAGAACCAAGTTAGACACCATATTACTTTCACGTATTTCAGTCACCCTTCATTTACGTAACCCATAATTTTCCTTTTTTTTTCCTGTTTTTTAACTTGTGCCGCTCCCAAGTTGCTAAATAGTAAGCTCTTGACTGTCTATGGCAGTGTATATAAAATTATTTATTACAAGATGGGGCGCTAAAGGGATTCCAATCTGTGAGAATTAATGCAGTGTGATTGATAATACATTAATAGTCTGAATATTAGTACTACTTATTTTTGTGTGTGTGTGTGTGTACATATTTGAGTAACTGGCTGTTGGGTGGTCTGAAAGTTTTGGTTTCTGCGTATACCATCAATTTATATATCTAAATTGTTGTAAGCTTCTGGATATTGTTTGCAAGTGAAAATCTTTTATTTGAATGCTGCAGGGAAAAATGAGCTGTTTGATGATCAATGATATTGATGCTGGACTGGGTAGATTTGGTGAGAAGGATTCATTTTTCTTTTTAAATACTTAATTTGTCATTCATATTCTAATTTACATATATACATGCATGCTTGAAAGGCTTCAATATGCTTCCATAAATGAATCATGAGATCTTAGTCAACAAGATTCCTAACATGCATGTTTCTGCTTCCTAACCAGGTGACACTCAAGTGACTGTCAATAACCAAATAGTGGTTGGGACTCTCATGAATATAGCAGATAATCCCACAAGAGTAAGCATAGGGCAAGTTTGGAGAGACTCAGACATTACAAACAGAATCCCAATTATTGTCACGGGAAATGATTTTACAACACTTTATGCTCCATTGATTCGTGACGGAAGGATGGATAAGTTCTACTGGTAACTCCTTATTCTCGTGATAGATTTTTGCTGTAAGAATATATTTGGTTGTGATGTTGATTGCCAAACCTGATTCTCTCTGTGAATATATTGCCTAGTGCTGCAATTTTTTTCTTCTAGATTTTATAAACAACTGAGTAAGGAAAAAGAGTTTAAATAGTGGTTTAATTATATTAAATAAGTTGTATTTATATTAGTCACTAGACTGTAATTAGAACTATAAAATTATTTTCTGCTATCATTTGGCTCATAGAATGCATTCTCTGGTACAGGCAGCCCACTCAAGATGACATTGTAAACATTGTCCGGAGAATGTATGAGAAAGATGGCATAACAAGGGATGAAGTTGTCAGCATTGTGAGGGAATTTCCCAATCAAGGTGCCCACGTGTTTGTCTTTCACGGACAATTGTTTGTTATATGAGAATTTAAGACTACCTGATTCCATATGTATGCGATTATATATTCTTATAAATTTTTTTCTTGTAGAATGATTTCCTAAATCTAATTTCTTCACGTGGCATTATATTTTCATTCTTAGTAAAAAGATGGCTCAGGATAGTTTGGAAGTGTTTGGCAGAAAATTGTAGGATGGTCATGTGCTTTGTAAGTTTCTTGAAACTATCAGTTGTTAATGACTATGGTATTGCTCTGGTATGGTTATCCTGGTGATTCATGGCTTTTAACTTTCTGTGGTCTCCGTTTCTGTACCAATTTTTTATTCGAAATGAGAATGAACTTTGTGAAAAATTCTTGTATGAGCTGCTTGGTTTTGGTTCTATTTAACTGCAACTCTTAATGTTGGCTTATAGGTATTGATACAGGATTTGTAAGAAATATGTTTAAAAGGGTTTTAATCTTCCAAACATGTACACACACGAGAAGAAAAGGACTCTATAAGAAAATTAAACGTAAAGTACAAGTGAAGCCACATGTATATCCTAATGCGGATGTTTCACATTTTTATCTGTCATTATTATTTCTATTTTGTCTGTTTGGCAGCATTGGACTTTTATGGTGCTCTTAGGTCAAGAACATATGACCGCTCAATCCTAAAGGTACTTGTAAATAAGTTTAAGACAATCCCTAATAATGAATGAGATAATGGAAATAATGTTATGATTGTCGATAAATGAGGATAGAGTACCCGTTTTACCTATGTATGTGCCTGTTAAATCCAAAACTTATCCAAGTAGCTTTGGCATATATCTGACTGCTTCTTTCTCGAGCTCTGGCAATTTATATTTCGTCTATTTATCTTCTTCCCCCCTTTTTTTCTGGTGGTAGTGGGTAAACGATGCTGGAGGTGCGGAAAACCTTGGGACAAGACTTCTCAAACAGAAAAAGGAAGGAAAACTTCCAGTATTTACAGCTCCAAAGGTATCATTTTTAATTTCACTTTTACTGGGATTGGTCTTTCCCTATAGTTTTTATCTTTCAGAAACTTTGCTCTATTCCATCTATTTATTGAACATAGACAGAAATAAGAGGCCATTTAAAGAATCCAGAACATGTATGTTTCTGCATGATTAATTTTTTAGTTTTTCGTTTTTATTTTTCATTAATTAGATGAGACAACTGATGTTCCCCGATGGTCTCATTTTCGGTTTGTACAGCAAACTGTGGAAGCTTTACTTGAATCAGGGTATGATCTCGTTGAAGGGCAAAAGCTTATAATGGAAACAAAGCTTTCTAAAGAATACATGAAGAACATCGATGACTAGCAAGTTTAATGACTCGCATTTTACACTCGATCTTTGGGTGTTTTGTGTTGTACTGTTCTTGGGAACGGATATTCATAATGAGAAATAGAACCTATTTGAAGTGGCTCTTTTTGTACAGAGAAGCCTATTTGTGAACAATCAAATGTTAGAAAATATCTTATTTACTATAAACCTAAAGTTTGAATTTTTGAAATATAGGCGGCAATAAAATAGCTAGTAACCAATCAACTGATTAAAATATTAAACCATTCAAAGTTTTTTATGCCGTGTGTCCTATAGTGTGGTGAATTTTTAAGACACAAAACTTAAAAATAACCAAACTTGAGAGAGGAAAGTATGTCTAATTTAATGTTAGGTTATATCTCATTGAAAATATGTACATAATATTTCATTGGAATAATCAACAATATCAGTTGGTAGCGATGATTCTCAAGTATATATCATTTCAGAATGTGTTTACCTTAAAGCTGCACACCTCGAATTTTAATAATAATAATAATAATAAACTAATGATGCAAGTTTAAAAATATTTTCAGGAAATTAAAATAAAATTTCTAAATTTATTTTTTAATTTATTTTATATATTTTTTTCTTAATTCAAACACCGTGTGTATGTGGGCATTGTATTTATGTCACTGTACTAAAAATTGGCCTAGTTGATCGCCTCAGATTTGTATGAATTGAATGAAAATTTGGTCAGGTGGCTAGGCAACTCCTAGACACTTCTAGGCGGGTTCGGCGGCTGGCCTAGACGCTCTTAGACGGGCTCGGCGGCAATTTTTTTCAAATATTAATTACATTATTTGTTATTATGTCTTCTTTTATAGTATTTTAGTATTATTATCTGAATTTAAGTGTGAGATTATAATCCTAAAAATAATTTATTTTGTAAGTAGTGAAAATAAAAAATAAAAATAAAAAAATATTTAATCTTGATTCTGCATAAAGACTTAGAGCATCTCCAATGTGACTTTTGACATTACAAAAATTCATCCATAACATCAACTTTTGAAAGTGTGTTAATAATTTATTCTAATGCATCTTGTCATGAGCTCTTTCATGATGATGTGGACAACATTTAATGTTGACAATGTTGAGCACACTTTCTAATATCTAACACCATGTTAAACATAATGACTAATCAATTCACTTTATATTTCATTTAGTTTTTTTGTTGTTCTTGTATTAATGATTGTTTTAATTGGTCCACCTATACAAATAACTTATCATCAAATTGATGCATTGAAGATAGTAATTTGATTCAAATTTATGCTCTTTTAACATTATTTTTATATGGATTAACATTATAATCATTAATTCACATGTGTTCAAAATCATTGGCTTTCAAAGCTATTGCATTGGAGGTGCTCTTATAGAACATTGATATATATGAACTTCGATAAAAAAAAAAAAATAAATATTTTAAATAATTTCTTTTTTAAAAAAAAATTGAAGTGTCGCCATTAGTTTTAGAAATTAACGTATAAAGCCCAAATTGCGGCACGGATTACGTGGGTCGAGCCGCGGATGTGTGGAGTGTGGACACGAATATCACACACATCAAGACGAACTACGTGGCACTTCTGAATCTGGACACGTACATCTCATACAAATATCTACCAACGGTGAAGGTATATTTATTATGTCAAAATACGTGTGCACACAAAATACGTGTCTCTAAAATTCGATTTTTTTATTTTCCCTCTCAAACAAACCGCCCATCACAAATTACTCTCAACTTTTCGTTCACTCACTCTTGCGAAATGTTAAGGTTTCAATACATAATCATTATGTCGAGATTATATATGTTAAATCATCAAAAATAATTAATTTAACGGTCACAAATCACGACAGAATGATTTCGGAACGGACCATAACATCTTCTCTCATTTTCAGCTACTGAATGAAAATATCTCACCAGATTTACCCAAAATAAAAAAAAAAAAGGAAAAATAGAAAGAAAATATCTTAGGAGAAGAAGTCAAATTTACATGGAAATGAAATCCCAACAGACAACAATCCAAAAAAGCCTCAAAAGAAGACCATTCGCCCCGGGCCCACACACACTCAACGTGTCCACACACACCACACCTAATTTATTTACTTCATTACAACAAACAAAATAGTAATAATCACGAAAAAAAGGAGGAAATTGGGCACCTCATACTGTCACGTGTCGGTGTACATAATAATAATAATAAATAAATTAATAATATAAAAGTAGCTATTAGTATTCCTTTATCTGTGACTCTCAACGCCCAAAAGTGTGTTTCAGAGCTCAAAACCAGAGAAAATTATTATTATATTCACGCAAATTAGTGTGAGTTGTTGTGGCCGGGTTATTAAGAGTGGGACTGAGTCGACTCGGCGGAGAAGAATTAGAGTGATATGGAGTGGTGGTGGCACAAAGTAGTTTTCCCTGTTCGGAGAGTTTGGTGCGCTGTCTCTGCTCGCGTCAAGCCTCGCAAGAATGGTTTGATTTTAACTTAGCCATCACTTCATTTTTTTCCTACTCTATAATGTTTTTCTTTTGAAGAGAGATTCTACTGTCCCGTTATTTTGTCGGGGGTTTGTAACCGTTAGATTAACTATCCACGACGGTTACAAATCCCGACGGAATGGTTCAGTAACGGGACTGTAGCATTTTCGTTCTTTTGAGTGCTTTGTAAAAGCAAAAGAAGAAAAACATAAATATGGTTCTCAGCTTCGTGCTGGCAATTTTGAATTAATTAATTAAAGTCTAAGATGCTATGAAATGTTGCCTTCAGTTTTGAAACAGGGTAAATGTCAAATAGTCCAGACAGTGATCAATTTTACATAGAATTCTTTAACAATGATGTTACCAGTCTAATAGTTAGACGGATCTGACCTATCATATTTTCGAACAAAAATTTATACTTATACTTTTGATTTTTTTATTTTTTATTTTTTTTATTATTATTTTTTTTTTAAGTATGATAGCATTTTTACTACAAAAGTAAGTATACACGTCTGTTGAAAAAAAGTATGATTGTATGATTGTGATGTATTACCCAATCTCTCTTATCATTTGTCGGAAAGCATAGTGTCATTTTCCTGAAAATTAATGTGATTATGATTTATTTCCATAAATGCTAAAGTCCCCGGGACCATTTCGTCGGGGTCTGTAACCGTTAAATCATCATGTAACCATCGTGGATAGTTTATCTAACGGTTACAACCCCAGATGGAATGGTTCCGTAATGGGATCGAAGAATTTTCCTGATTTATGATACTGATGACTTTGGTGATCGGTGTTCGTTAGAGTTTATGAAACCGTAAAATCTGGTAAACTTTGTATCCGAGTTTTGTCTTACTCTAATCAGCTATGCACTAATGATCCCTTTATTAATTAATAGCTAATTGCGATTACTTTGGAACCAAGCTATCTTTTATTACATAATCATCTTTTACACTAACATATCTGAAAATTCCACTTGTATGTGACCTTAGACAGTGAATTTGTTAACACTGTCATCTGCTAACTACAATAACTAGTCTTTTTGCACAAGTAACGAATTATATCTCGATTTCTATGTTTAGGTGCGGGGCTTCTGAAGCTTCACGATGACATCCAAACATGTGGATACGAGGATGTTCAGATCATGTGGGAGATGTTGAGTAGGACAGAGTCGAAAGTGGTTCCCAAAAAACAGATGGTTTTGTAGGAATTTTGGTACATTTTCTCAGAATATATATCAAGATGCTCTCCACCACAAATGCTCCATGAATAAATAGTGTGTCGTGAGATCGATTTACCTGCCTTTATTATGTACGATATTATGTACGATATGGTGAGAAGGATACTAGCTAGCACAAGATCTTTGTATCGTCTTCTCTTTTGCTGTTGGTTTGTAATGGCTTGCAAGTCGTTTTGTGTGTAGATATGTGTAACAACAAATTTTATGAAAAAAACATAAAACTTTATGTACAACTTGAATATATTTCGATCAAACGATATGCGGGTACAATCTCTATTTATCTCATCTGATTCTTCTCTTCATGGATTTGGGTTTGAGATCTTGAAAGATGGATTTGACGATTGAATCTCCTTCATGCTTGAGATTGAATTTCTCTAA